TGGTATCAGAGTTCCTCTGTAGCAACAACATAAACTTGGTTCGCCAAAGTTTCACGAACGAATATCCAGACTTGTGTACGATGCCCTTCACGTATTCGCACGTGAACGGCATCGTACATCTGGATATTCTTGAAACTTTGGCGAACCAAGTTTATGTTGTTGCTACGGAGAAACTCTGATACCATAAAAGCTCTCTGCTGCGGGGTAAATTGTGGCATCGCCATTTCAAAGTGTACGGGGTATTATACGAGAAAATGCGTTTCAGCACAAACAACTCGAAAGCACAAATTCCATGGAAATTCCATGGAACTCTCATGGGAGTAAAAATGAATTCATAATGAAGTAAGAACAGCACCAACGGAGAAAAATGTAACGTTTTCATAGGCTTTTCGGTGGATTTGTACTCGGTAAAATCCTGCCGAAATTTTATCATAAATGCAACAAATAGCGAACTTTTCATACATGAACTCAAATAAAGAATACCGTTTGTCATTTCCGTGCGCAAGCCACTTTTAGGGGAGCAAAAGTTGACCACCCCCCTGCATAGCAAAATTTACTATTTTCAAAAAATTTTATATTTTCCACAATTTAAGAACTCAAGCAATCCATATATAGCAAAAATTACATTTCATGAACAGAATTGTGGAATTGAGAGCAATTTCAAAATTGTCTTACTTTTTTTGATACATCCTGTATATATAAGTAATAAGTATCCATAGTATCCATGTGCTGCCTAGTTGTAATACTTTATGAAATCCAGCAGTCTCAATAAGCTCGCTATCTTTTCAGTTATATGTACTGGTCAGACTGGGGATCTCATCCTAAACTGGAGCGTGCCTGGCTGGATGGCACACATCGTGAAGTATTGGTCAACACCTCCATTCAATGGCCCAATGGTCTAGCTCTAGACTATATAGAACGTAAAGTATACTGGGCTGATGCGAAACTCGATAAAATTGAAGTATGTAATTTAAATGGGAGTGGTAGACGTGTAGTACTTGATAAAGAAGTGCCTCATATCTATGGTTTTGGTCTTATTGGGAAACACCTATATTGGACGGATTGGCAACGGCGTAATCTTCAGAAGATTCATGTTGATAGCTCACAAAACAAAGATATTATTGCTGAGTTACCTGCTGTGATGGGACTCAAAGTTGTTGATATGAATCTCAAATATGGTAAGTGCACCATGAATTGCTGGGAGTTGTTTCATTGTGATTTTTTACCTGTTGAGGCTGTCAACTCGAATACCGAATAACCAGCTATTTTTAATTCTCGTTAGCAAAACTTTGGTAATTGTTTAGCCGATCTTGTTTTCTCTACTACAAGGTATGAGCTAATATCCTACTTGTGGAGAGGCAATCAGATCGCAGAATAGCTCATATCCGGTAGTTGTCTATGTAGTAATGTGTGCTGTAATATACACTGTAATTGACAAAGGCGAGATGATTACAAGCCTATATTCACTGAGCCGAAGGCGAATTGTTATGGTATAATTTCAGTATTGAAAAAGTTTATTGATACAGCGAATACGTCAACTAATATGTACACGTGTTTATTTTATGGATATAATTTGCATAAATATTTTACTTCCGCCTGATTTTCAGCCATTTTTTTTAGGAAAAGCAGTAGGTACTGCTCAGAGCTCAGAGTAGTCTGTGCAGTGTAACTATTGCCTCAAAGGTACTGCTGAGGGAGCCAATCAGAATGCTCAAAGGCCATTTTTCAATAGTAAAGTTATACTAATGTACAATAATAATAAAATATGATTTGAACATCTAAATTCCGAGACGCTTGCATGTGCTAATGCTTATTTTTGGTCGTGTGAACCAATCTTTTTGATTCCACGAAAGATAAAGCATTTTTCTATTCTTTGACCAGGTGGTAACGACTGTCAAAAGAACAATGGTAACTGTTCTCACCTGTGTTTGTATACACCAGTTGGAGTGCAATGTGAATGTCCAATGGGACTGGAATTGACTAAAGATAATATGACATGTGTTGGTAAGTACAGTACAAATGTGTTGGTAACCTCTCCACCTAACTCCGCTATACGCAGGATAGACATTTTTAGATCATTGTTAACTACAAATACATTCTAAAAATATATTTCGACGATAGGATTTTTTCTTTGAAAAAAAAAACACTTAAAGAAATACGTAACATGTTTCTAGCTTGTCAACAATCCAAAGTAACAATAAACTTAAATTTTATTAATTTGAAAAAATGCTGTGGAAACTGCCAAAATTGCTGTGGACAGCTGTTACGTTCTACCGCAATTTTTAACGCCATTGCCGTCGATTGATTTCAGGGAAATTCGAGGCCTGTACAGTACTCATTACTACTCAATCTTGTTTAGTTTATTTACAGTAGCTCCAGAAACCTTTCACCTCTTTCGCATGAAAATATTGTCGAATATCAATCATTTTCTTTTCTTTCCTTCTCTTCGAGTGCTTTTTCTCCAGGTCATCCGGTTTACCTCCCTCACCAAAAACTAACCCTTATTTCGTCATTGATTGGTGAACGGATTTCCCTGTTCCCAATTGATAGGGGATCCAAGGTACAGTACCTACGATTTAACATCCTTAACCAAGAAGACACGAAAGTCTAACCATTTGCTGATTGATGTTAATGTAAAAGTAGCTCTTTCGCCTCAATTATTTTAAGACCTTGAGTAGAGGTTCGATGAAGGATAAAAGCCGGGTCTCCCAGCTTGAAGCGCAAACACGGCGACCATGAAACAATCATACTTTGCGTAGCTGATTTCAATTAAAGCTAATCCAATTTGTTGTAGTTCCAGAAGCGTTTCTTCTCTTCTCTCGTATGAAAAGTATTCGTCGCATCTCTATTGATACCAGTAATGGAGATAAACCTATACCAATACCTGGCATTGTGGACGCAAATGCAGTAGATTTTCACATCAACCACAGCAAAGTATTTTGGACTGATTTGGAAGCAAAGAAAATTAGCAGAGCGTTTATAAATGGTAGCCAAGCAGAAGTAGTTATTGATGTTGACTTAATATGGCCGGATGGGCTGGCTGTGGATTGGGTGGCAAATAATATTTATTGGACAGACTCCCACTTAGAACGCATTGAATGCTCGCGTCTTGATGGACGGTATAGGAAAACTTTGATTTGGAAAGGATTGAATGAACCGCATTCACTAGCTTTGGATCCTGGCAAAGGGTGAGTCATGTTTTATTTACTTACCGTAAAGTGCTCCAGTACATAATGTAGCTCAGGCATTATCAGGGCCACCGAAATGTTGTGTAACTTTCCCAGGTGCCCTATGACGTCATTGTGAAACAAGAGAAGCGGTGTTTCATGATATATTACACTTTATTGCCTAGGCTAGGATTTATATTCTCGGTTAAGCAATCATGTACTGTACATGTATCAAGTAAATTTAAAGGACTTACAGTAGTCGCTTTGGGGTCCCTTTTGAGTTGTGGGTCTGGGTCAAAATGCCCCCCCCCCCCCGCTTTTCTCTCGGAGACGCTCAGAGTCATTATAAAGGACCTTTGCTCGAAGTTCTCCTTGTATTTTTCAGACACTTATATCCCTATCAATCCGTAGCTTTCTTATTATCAGTGAAAAAGATTAATTCATCCCTTTTTCGAGTCGATTACGCTGTACAACAACGAGCATTAATTACGATTATTGGGGCCGGTTGTACGATGACCGGATAGTGCTATCTACAGGATGGTGATTTTTCAATATGGAGCTGGCAATTAATGAAAACAAAACTTTACTGTAGTTTGATCTGGGTTATACCAACAAACGGCCAATTTCAGATACATGTAGCATGAAAAAATCACTACGCAGTGGAGACCGCGTACCGGCTCATCTGGTGCATATAAATTAAAGTTCCATATAATTAATTGTGAGGTCCCTATTCGTTGTTTTCTTGCTTTTCAAGCATATTTAGAGCGATAGAAAAATCACTATCCGGTGGATATAGCGCTCTCTGGTTTTCGTACAACCAACGCGTGGTTACTAAGTAAACCTTGATTTGATGTAGGTATATGTATTGGACGGAATGGCGAGATTCAGCTGCTATACTACGCGCTAATATGGATGGTACTGACATGATAATATTGATACAAAACCACACTCTCATGGCGAGACCTAGAGCTTTGGTTATTGACTTCTTTGAAGATATTATTTATTGGACGGAAGAACATTTAAATTGTATATCACGAGCAAGGATTGACGGTACAGGCCTAGAGAACGTGATCTCGTCATCTCTCCCGCATCCAAACTGCCTAACACAATATAAAGACTTCATTTACTGGGGAGACCAAGACGATCAAACAATCTCCAGGGCTAGTAAAAAGAACGGTGGAAACCGCACCAGGATAGAGGGTAATATAGGATATATCATGGATATGAAGATATTTCATAATAGCCGTCAAATAGGCTGGAATGAATGTGGAGATAATAATGGCGGCTGCAGTCATCTTTGTTTGGCGTTACCGCAGGAGAAGTATACATGTGCATGTCCGAACCACTACACGTTGGACAATAAGACGAAGACGTCATGTATCAGTAAGTATTAGTGTTCGCCATGAGATTACAAGTACAAGATTCGTTCATAGTGAGCTTGAGCAAGCGACGTTTTTGTCAACACGGACGTCGTCCGAAAATGGGTATAATTCATTTTAGCGACAAAAACGTCGTTTGCTTAAGCTTGCTATTTACTGCCAGTCACCATCAATGTTATGGTCGTAACGAAATTCTCGTTTGCCTGCGCACGGGAAACGTACGTCACTGGCAATACGCAATCTATGCATAATATAGTTATACTATTTCATGAAATAACTATATTATGCCTACGATTGCGTGTTGCCAGTGATGTACGTCGCCCGCGCGCAGGCAACGAGAATTTCGTTACGACCACAACATTGGTCTGCTTATGCAGTCGCGTCATATTTCTCTATCGTGATAGTCTGCTTGCATAACGATGGTCAACGTTACAAGAATGCTTAATTCCAGTATAATTTTATCAGAAACTACTCATTTTTCCGGGGACTGCGGGTTTCTTTCGTAATATTAGTACGTTTGGCAACGGCAACGAGGACGTGCTCATTAACCGAATTTTCAAATGCGATTGAGTATTCTATGACGAACTGCTACGTTATTTGCATAATTTTCAAGCCCACGAACACACCGTCAGTTAAGGTTACAGAACACCTTTGAGTGTTAATTTTGTCTAAGAAATTTTTATTGGTTTCCATGAAAGCATTAGATTAATTCTAATATCTGACCAAGTTTCGACGAAAAATGTTGAAAACTCGCAGAGTTATTTAATAAAATACATTTCGCTTGCAATAAGAAAAACATTGAAAATGTAATATTCAAATTCAATTTTCTCCCGAAGAATTTTACGGCAATTACTGATTTTCAAACGAGTTGTGCTCCTGTGGGTTTTAACGCATTTCTCTCAAACTTTCACAGGAGATAGCTAAGGACGTCAGTTTCAAAATTGTGTTCGGCTTTGTTCTAATTTTGGATATTTTAATAATGAGGAGCAATTCACACAAACGATTCAGAAATATATTGCAGTCGTCAAAGAAATCGCCATTTCAGCGGAACGACGAAATAAACAAAAATTTCCGAACACAATTTTTTAGAACAACTATTTTACTGTATAAAACATAACTCAAAAGCGTAAAGGTATACCGCGACGTAAGATTTTCCTGAATAATTCTTACATTATTTTATTGTTTATCAATTTTACAACTTTATCATATTTTGCATGCACTGGCTAACATTTGGTGAAAATTTGATGAAAATCGGACTGATTTTGAGCGCGCAGTAGCAATTTTCCACAAAACGCCAAAAAGGGTGTCCTGTAACCTTAAGGCCCGGTCAAACTACACAACGATAACGATACGATAAATTGTAAACACGCGATAATAGACCTTTCCGGTAATTACGTCACAGCTACACTTAGGACCACCTTAAATGGAATGGATTTCAAGTTTTTTTTCTCACTGGCTATGCGCATAGAAGCAGAGAGCCTCTTCCTTTAACACAAGCATGAAAAAGATGACAACACATGCAGAGAAAAAAACTCCATTCCATTTAAGCGTGATTTACAGTAAGGTAGTCCTAAGTTGAAAACAATGTAGCTGTGGCGTAATTACCGGAAAGGTCTATTGGCAAAAAAATTGTGTTAATGTCCACACTACAACGAAAATGATAAAATTATCGTTTGACGATAACGATTATGGGATCGCTCACCGGAGCGATTTTTTTTTAGTCGGACGATAACGATAAATTTTTTACCAATCAGCGCGCGTATACAAGTTATCGTATCGTTATCGTTGTGTTTAAACTTAAACCGTTGGAAGTCATTTTGGAAAAATTGAGACGGAAAACTGTAACTCTCTGTTGCCAGGTTCGTACTGCACGAGTTTCTTGTTTCTAATGTGAATGCTGCTAATGCGAATTTCTTTACTGTAGGTCCTCAACTATTTCTGCTCTACAGTGGTGAGCAAAGAGTACGCAGGCAAACTATGGATCACGCCGACAATTTTGACGTTTTCTTGCCACTAAATATTCAAAATAAAGTACGAGCATTGGAATACGATCTGACGACTGATATGATATACTGGATTGATGCGTATGATGACCATGCGAACATTTACAGAAGTTTTCCAAATGGTACACAAAAAGAAGAAATAGCAACCTCGGATGATAAAGAAGTGTTGACAGCACCACTAGACATCGCTCTAGATCCCTATGGTAAACAGTTATACTGGACGGATGATATTTCTAAGAATATTAAAGTTACCAGTTTAACAACAAATGTAGTTGGTACGCTAGTAAGCGGTGAACTTGGCAATCCAACATCAATTGCATTGGATCCAAAGAGAGGGTAAGCCATGGAAACGAATTTATACTTGTATATGAATTATCAAACTATTTTAGACCTGTTTGTATGCCTTGTGATCAGTGCGGCCGAGGAGGGGGGCAGTTTGCCCCAGCCCTTACAGTAGCTCCAAAGGAGCCCACAGCTCAAAAGGGAGCCCAGAACGACAAACTCCCAGCTGGATAATATGCAATAAAGTGCAATGTATATTGTAAGACATCGCTTCTCCTATTTTACAATTATGCCGCAATCTCGTACCCAGAGCAATGCCTGTGCGCGGGCTAGGATGGCATTGTCTCTGGGGAAATTGACAACCGGAGCCCCTAAATTTAAGAGTTCCGGTTCTATGTCGGCATGTACGATTGATAAACGTTAAACCAATCGCAGCTCAGGAAAAATTCAATTTCCCCAGATCCAATGCCATCCTAGCCCGCGCACAGGCATTGCTTTGGCTACGAGATTGATTATGCCGTCATAGGTCCCCCTGTAAAGGTGTTGCCACGTGTAACCTTTCAGCGGCCGTGCTTGCGACAATCTGTAGGTTTGAAAATAAGGGTTTTGAAGTTGTTTGTTTACAATAGTATACTTACTGTACCATATACCTAGTACATAGTTCGGTGAATATTTCTAGATAATGAAACTACGTTAACGAGTTTAAAGTGCCTATGTCATGGTCAGAGAAATAATTGATGTGTTTCAATTAGGTTATTCTAAGAGTTTTTGTAATATACTTTGTAATTAGAAAATTTGATATTCATGGACTTTTTGGCGCTCAAAGTGTTGTTGTTGTTGTTGTTGTTGTTGTTGTTGTTGTTGTTGTTGTTGTTGTTGTTGTTGTTGTTGTTGTTGTTGTTGTTGTTGTTGTTGTTGTTGTTGTTGTTGTTGTTGTTGTTGTTGTTGTTGTTGTTGTTGTTGTTGTTGTTGTTGTTGTTGTTGTTGTTGTTGTTGTTGTTGTTGTTGTTGTTGTTGTTGTTGTTGTTGTTGTTGTTGTTGTTGTAAACGTATTCAAAACAAAATTGTAACTACGCTATTTCTTTAGGTATATGTATTGGACAAACTTCACGGACAAAACAGCAAGTATTGAGAAAGCGAGAATGAGTGGTGGACGTGATCAAGATGAACAAGTATATAATAAAGATGTTAACAATGTCGAGCTTGGACCATTGGTTGTTGATCCTGATGGAGAGTTTCTCTATTTCGTTGAAAAGAAGAGCCAGAAATTCATCAGACTTTCTTTGAAAGGTATGCTCATTTATTTAGCCGCCTGTCGAGAGCTGCCAATTACAGATGTTTATATTAAAAACCTCGCGGTGTATAACAGCAAGACCTTGCAGTGAAAACTGAACGGAGCAGTATCGACAATTTGTACTTTTTGGCTTTAGAATGCTATATATGTTACGAATGAATATAGTTGTAATTCACTCTCATCTTCCGCTACCCAAACAATTTTTAATCGGAAGAAGAATTCTGTATAGAAAATGTACAGTGATTAAATTTTATTACACTGATTCAGTTAAAAATGAAGAACTTGATAAATAAGAATCATTATACCGAAATACCGTGCGATTTGGCAGCTCTGTGCTTTCTGTAGTGGAGCGAAGTAAAATAGATACATGTAGTTAATATAGTACAGTTCGTTCGGTTGCAGCTTTGTTTAGAACATTTTTGTATTCGAACAGTGAACTTAGAAATATAAGTAATTAAGTGTATAAGTGTATAAGCATTATGATTATATGGAAAGCATCACTTCCCGTGAAATGCCGTCTGTAATTGACTGAGAAGCACGTTCAGCGGTCCATTATTTTTCCGTATAATGGACAGGCCGCCTGCCCATTATATCTGTGCAAAAAAGACCTCTGTCCGATATTTCTATGTACAGACCTCGCGTTCAGTTCATAAGAAGTTAGTAAAAACACTGCAACCTACAGTACATACGGAATTATCGAGTCAGTATTTACATCAATATTTAACAACAATTGCATGAGGTTAGGTATGATATGAAGAATTATCAAACCAGGAGTTTGTGTTATCAATCGAAGCCGAAGGCTGAGTTTCTTTTTCCAGTTCTTTTTCTCAAATTTTTCCTTTTTTCTTTCATAAGTGGTTTAAGATATTTCAAAACCTTTCGTGGCTGTTTTCATTCATATTTTTTAATTATATTTTCGAAGTCGTATATATAGAAATTAATTTGTTAGGTTTATTATTCGCAGATCTTACCGAAGAAAAGCTTGACGTCCGCAATCTAATGGAAGTACGAGGTCTGGCTGTATACGGAGATTATCTGTACTGGGTGGACACTCAATCTGGAAAACTGAATCGTGTGAATAAGATGACAGGTCAAGGCGAACAACTCGTTCAAGGCGGCATAAAAGAACCCACTGATGTTTTGGTTGTTGATAAACATTCCTTTGATGGTAAGTTTATTTGTTATAGATTCTTGAAAGTTCGGTGCCAGGTAGCGACGATATAACAGACAACTTCTTAGATAAGGTCGGTGCCAGTGTAGGTAGCGATGATATAACAGACAGCTTCTTAAATAAGGTCAGTGCCAGTGTAGGTAGTGATGATATAACAGACAGCTTCTTAGGTAAGGTCAGTGCCAGTGTAGGTAGTGATGATATAACAGACATCTTCTTAGATAAGGTCAGTGCCAGTGTAGGTAGTGATGATATAACAGACAGCTTCTTAAATAAGGTCAGTGCCAGTGTAGGTAGTGATGACATAACAGACAGCTTCTTAGATAAGGTCAGTGCCAGTGTAGGTAGTGATGATATAACAGACAGCTTCTTAGATAAGGTCAGTGCCAGTGTAGGTAGTGGTGATATAACAGACAGCTTCTTAGATAAGGTCAGTGCCAGTGTAGGTAGTGATGATATAACAGACATCTTCTTAGATAAGGTCAGTGCCAGTGTAGGAATGATGATATAACAGACATCTTCTTAGATAAGGTCAGTGCCAGTGTAGGTAGTGATGATATAACAGACAACTTCTTAGATAAGGTCAGTGCCAGTGTAGGTAGTGATGATATAACAGACAGCTTCTTAAATAAGGTCGGTGCCAGTGTAGGTAGTGATGATATAACAGACAGCTTCTTAAATAAGGTCGGTGCCAGTGTAGGTAGTGATGATATAACAGACATCTTCTTAGATAAGGTCAGTGCCAGTGTAGGTAGTGATGATATAACAGACAGCTTCTTAGATAAGATCAGTGCCAGTGTAGGTAGTGATGATATAACAGACATCTTCTTAGATAAGGTCAGTGCCAGTGTAGGTATAGCGATGATATAACAGACATCTTCTTAGATAAGGTCAGTGCCAGTGTAGGTAGTGATGATATAACAGACATCTTCTTAGGTAAGGTGGGTGCCAGTGTAGGTATTGATGATATAACAGACAGCTTCTTAGATAAGGTCAGTGCCAGTGTAGGTATAGCGATGATATAACAGACATCTTCTTAGATAAGGTCAGTGCCAGTGTAGGTAGTGATGATATAACAGACATCTTCTTAGGTAAGGTGGGTGCCAGTGTAGGTAGTGATGATATAACAGACATCTTCTTAGGTAAGGTCGGTGCCAGTGTAGGTAGTGATGATATAACAGACAGCTTCTTAGATAAGGTCAGTGCCAGTGTAGGTATAGCGATGATATAACAGACATCTTCTTAGATAAGGTCAGTGCCAGTGTAGGTAGTGATAATATAACAGACATCTTCTTAGGTAAGGTCAGTGCCAGTGTAGGTAGTGATGATATAACAGACAGCTTCTTGGATAAGATCAGTGCCAGTGTAGGTAGCGATGATATAACAGACAGCTGCAGTGTGAGACAGAAACCTGGAAAATATAAGCAGAACGTCGACGTTTTGAGCGAAGCCCCCTCCTCGGGAGGTTAGTAGCCAGCTCTAAAACTATACAGGAACACTAAAAAGCACTACGACCAATGAGCTCCATTTATATAGTAAGAACTCGCGTCTAAAAAGCCTATCTAAGGATGGCAGAAATTGATATCCAGTACCAATCCTTTTCTATTACTTTTGTCTGCGCGGTTAGCAGGAGGGTGCAAGGAGTATGGGGAGAAATGATGTTTTATTAATTTCGATTTAAGGACACGATTATGATTTTCTGAACTGGCTAAAGAAACATATTTCGCTACAACTACATTTGAAAAAAATAGTCGAACTCCACTCTCTACTTGTAAAGTGCACTTCATTCCTACCCACCCTTGATCCTGAGAGACTATACAGTACATATACTGTACAGTATATAACATGTACTGGAAATAACGCCCAAACCATCTGTTGTGTGGGGTGTCAAACTTTGTTTGCTTTGTAGCACTTTAGCTTTAATTAAAATCTGTTGAAACATTTTAATTTCTTTCAGTGAATCATCCATGCATCAAGAACAACAGTGGATGTAGCCATCTTTGTTATGTCAGTCATGGTCAAGCTCTTTGCTCATGTCCCAAGTATTTAAATCTTGGAGACAACAAACGCACATGTGAATGTAAGTATTTATAGTTTTCTTTTACAGCTTTATGAATAATAAAGCCAAAGTTTTTTCTCCCCAATTGCGAGAAGCTATCATATAGATATGGTTTCGAATTTCGCTGTAGTTGCATTGTAGTTATCAATTAGATTGAAATAGTGTTGAAAAAACTTGATTTTCTTAGTTAACTCCATAGAGTAGCACAAACATAAACGGGTCGCCGATAGGATGGAAGGACAGTGGGGGGCCGAACACGTATACCGTACGTAAACTATATTGTTGAAACGAAAGCATTGTTTTCATGAAAGCGTAGGTCTACAGTACGTGCATGGAGCAAAGATTTGGATATTATCCTTTTTTGCATTTATTTTAACTGATTTTTGCGCATGAGCGACTTGCGTGCACAATATAAAAATTGAAGTGAAACCAGTTTTGATACTCAATCTCGTCATGAGTTTTATGCCACCTACAACTCGTTTCACAACATATTATCAAAGCAACTTTTAACTGTTCTAAAGGCACGCAAGTATAAAGGAAATCTTGACGCCTCCAGGGTCTTGATTTCCTGAGCAAAAAGCGCGACAAAAAGAGGCTAATTTTTAGCAATAATTATGTGACCAGAGTTACCGGAAGATATATTATACCAGTTCAACGTCTGTTAACGCTTTCTTGAATTGTTTAACAATCAAGTTTATACAACTACAGGATCTTTTTCATGCATGTATTATTCGCTATAAACTGCAAGTCTTGCTGCTAACGATTAAATATGCCAGTTAATTTGTCTGTTATAACTTTATATTATAGCTTCCTTCTGACAATGCAATTGCAAGGTGCTTCTAAAACTTGCTGAAACTATACATATGCATTATATGAAGTTATCGGGCTTCGCTATAATTATTGAATTCACATGTCAGTTACACTTTCCGTCCGAGTGACGTAATACGTACTAACATAATATTCAAAGCTAGAATCACGGTCTACACTCAAATTTTCTGGATTTTGCAGTGATTTTAGAGGATGGAAAGGGGGGGGGGGGAATATGGGTCACGTATGGTTTCACAGCGAAAGAAAAAGTCGTTTCACAATTGACCATTTGCGTAATAGACTAAATTTTGATCTAGACAAAAATTTTATCACAGCTTGAAAGAGCATCACAAAATTAGTAATATTCCAAAGTTTCGTTGCAAAATGTTGTAAAATGCGGATAATATAGCCTTGCGAAGTTTGCAATTTTCAGTCATTTTAGATTACAAACGGGAAATTGACAGCCCGATACGCTTTGAGGCTTTACTTGTATAGATAAAAATTTTGTCTATTACGCAAATGGTCAATTCACGTGTCTTAAAAAAGCAATTTCACATTCACTAAAAACTAGATTCTAATAAAAATAATAGAATAATAGGTTTATATATTAAAAGTAGTTAATGCCTGATTTTTAATTTGATTTGTGTCCTCTATGATGGATATACTGAAAAATTTCAATAAAAACTACCGAAACAACTGAGAAATATTTCAAATTTACAAGTATAATCTATCACTCCGTGTTTACACGGCTATCATTCTTTCTGCGAAGCAGATATATTGCCATCGTGCGCGTACCGGAGGTTTGTAAGCGTGCTCATAGCCAATCAACGACAGCGTATAGATGAAATGACGTAATAATACTAATTTCAAAATGGCGGTTTACTGAAGAGTGAAACAAAAGGCAATTTGTGAATTTACGATTCAAATTATACATCAAACGCAGTTTAAAACAACGTCATTTTACTAGTCTGAATATGGCAAATGTCGATAGTGCATTTTTGGCAAGCATTTGAAGGATTTCATAATTTAATACGCAGTGGAAACGAAATGATTCGCAATTTTTGACAAGGAAATTATTGACTAATGACATTGAGAATACTATTATGAAACTATGAAAGTAATGATTCTTCCACATGTTGCCGTTGTAGGTGTATATCGAGTTGTAAGTGTTGATGTTTATGTACTTCTCAATTTAACAGTTTCATTGGTGACTTTAGTTAATATAAATTAGTTGAATGAAACCGATAGAAGGCTATATAATTTCGTAAGGTTACATAATTTCTTTATCAATGATCATAACTATAGACAATTGGTGTCTGCTTTCATTACAGACTTTGATAGATCATTTTTATACAAATTTAGCAGAGTCAGAAGCTAAGGGGCTGTTTACATGAGCGCGGTTTGCAGGGCTGGCTCGCTTAAACGGGGCGCCCGGCTTCATGGTAATTTCCAACACAAAGAAATTTTACTTTACATGACAAACCGGGCCAGCCCGTTTAGCTGGGATCCCACTTGACTCAAACGGGGCTTTTATTCTATCTAACGCCAGACTATTTTACTCTGTTTTAAGTTTGCGTAAGTAATTTTCCGTGTTCGTTTGGTTTGTTTAATAGAACTATTAACAATTAATGCATTAAAGTGAGTATTTTTTTATCAACAAATACTTCAATATTTGTCAAAACTTAATCAAAAAGTGATTTAATAGGTGGCCTCAAAAAATGGCTTCACAATTATGTAATGTAAGCAAAATTAATGATAACAATAAAGTGTGAGTTCAAAATACCAAAAAGAACTAAAACATTTATTGTATGGTTCTCATTTGCCTGATATAACAATAACAATAATCTTTATTAGCATTCCCATATATTATAGGTTCATAAATGGTATTGCCTAACATTGTAGTTAAGTCAAACAGAATTTTAGCTTAAGTTCAAATGGATCCTCTTTTTGTTGTGTCCAGGATGAAGATGAATACATTTTTTATTTTTCATGTTACCAGGACAACTTAAAACATATGTTAAATGTGTATATGCGTTAATAAATCAACTGATTTGCATAACTAACAACGAGTATCTCATATTACACCACAAAGCTTTTCACACAGATTTAATTTCGCGTTTCCCAAATTCTAGTACTGCGCGAATTCTAGTACTGCGCAAATAGTTCTTGTTGTTTTGCATTAAATATTACACAATCCAATCATTTCTGGCGAAAATTTCCCACTTACCAGTGATGTTCTCTACATAGACAGGTGCTACAATATTTTTAGGTTTTTTTCTATACACCCCCCTCAGGACTCCAAAAAAGGACGTACCCCCCCCCCCGCATAGAATTGAATTGTAATGACTTTATTAGCATGATCTATAATTACAAGATATTGCTAAAGTACTGTAGTTCCATCAATATAACTATTAACGTTCATAACTAGCTAATAATAACATTTTTTTAACTTTATATTATTTACATATTGATCACTATGAGAATATTTAAGATTACAAGATATATTACTATTTCAGGGTTTTAATTTAATATGTAGTGTCTATATCGGTTAAGGATTTTTTTTTGGGGGGGGGCGGCTTATACCATTTGTTTTAGGTATTATTTGTATTTCTGGCTTCACAGTACTGATTCCGTTTTTCAAAACTAACTGTAATATATTTTGAAAAAACATTCAGTACTTTTGGATCATTAGATTTTATTATATTATCGAGGTTATCTCTCTCGAGTGTTTCGTTGCATTGTGTTTGTAATATATTGTTTGTGGTGTTTCTGTCTTCTTCGTAGTAGTTACAAGATAGTGCAAAGTGATATTCATCTTCAATTTCGTTTGTATCACAGAGATTACATAAGCGTTGTTCACGGGGGATGTTGTGATATCGACCGTATTCAATCTGTAACTTATGACAACTTATTCGAAATTTAGTTACCGCTTTTCTTTGAGATGTGTTTCTTATAATTGTAAGGTAGTCCTCTAACTTATATTCAGACTTAAATGTGCTGTAGAAAGAGAGTTTGGAGGAATTGTCTAACTTATGTTTCCAAAAGGTGACATATTTATTTTTAGCATTGCTTATAAATTGACTTTGTTGATGAATAGTAATAGATTCTAATTCATTTAGTTCATCATTTACGTTAGTGTACGATTTAAGTATCTTCATGACATTGGAGTAGAAACTGGGTTTATTCAGTTCATAAAGTTCTTTGGAGATTAGGAATGCTTGTTTCACAATAGTGAAGTCAGGAAGGGTATTAATGTGTGCAAGGTATTTGATTATTCTTTTGTGTATGGTTATTAATAGAGGAAATTTTCCTAATTCACCTCTACACGCTACATTTGTTGCTTTTCTATTAACTCCTAAGTATAGTTTGCAGAATCTGGAATCAACTTTTTCTGTTTCGCATTGATCCTATTTATTAAGATCGCTATTAATGAATGCACCCCATACTTCTGAATTATATAGAAGTATTGGCGAGATAATACTGTAAAAAATTTTGATTGCTAGTTTTGGATTGAGTGAATGAAAATCAACTTTTTTCTTTGTGCTGAACATAGCATGTTTTTCGTTATCAGCAAGTTGTTTCATTGCTGTGGTAAATTTCCCATTGGTTGTAAGTTTAAGACCTAAATAGTTGTAATCTTGTGTTACTTGAAGTATTTTGTTTGCAAATAGAAATTGTGGAGTTTGTTGTTTTGACATTGGTTTCTGGAAAATCGTAACTTTAGTTTTCTTTAAATTAACCTCCATCATCCACTTATTGCACCAGTTGTTTAACTGGTTTAAACAGCTTTGGAGGCCAATTTTCGATCTAGATAATATTATCAGATCGTCGGCATATAACAGACAATTCAGTTTTGTACCATTTGGGAGTGTGAGTGGGTCAGAATCCTTGTTATCAAGCAATGATGGTATGTCGTTTAGGTATATGTTAAATAATATAGGACTTATAATACATCCTTGACGTACCCATAGGACAAGATGAACTTTACATGACCCCCCCTCCTCCATTTTGCCCCCCCCCTAGGGTATAAATAATGAACGGTCCCTAAGCAGAAATGCAATTATTTATATTCTATGGAATGAGGGACGCCTTGTTTGGGATGTTCTGAAATTATACTGAATCTCTCACTCAAATTTTCTGCATCGTCCAATTCTCTCTTAGCCTCAATATGCTCCTTGGCTATATGACTGTATCTAAACTGTAAAGTCGGTTTACG